ATAACTAACATATATTTTATTTTGTTTCAGGTGCTACATGTAAAAAGAGAAAATTTTATGAAGAAATTTGAAAAAAGAACTTAAGAAAGGGATGTATGCGAAGAAAGTAAAAATTAGGGGGTGAAATCCACCAAGAAAAACCAACAGATCCAACCCAAACCCAAATATTGAGCCTACTAGCCACTTTCACAAATCAGCCCATCAAAACCCAAACCCAAAAGAACCCTAGTTTTCCTTTCTCTTTAAAGGGTAGAGCCACACAAAAAAAGAGGAGGCTGCAGGTGGCAAAAAAAAAAAAAGATAAAAAAAAGCCCAATTCTTCTTCCATCAATAATCCCCTTTCTCCATTTTTTTCTTTGATCAACAGCCTTTATCTCCATCACTGGTCATCACCCGATTCTTCTCCCATCTAGAACCCTCTTTCTCCATTTTCTCCGATCATCAATTTTCGCCCCATCTGTCACTGATCACCATTCTCATCACTCATTCCTCATCATTGATCTGCTCTCCTTCGCCTGACAACAATTGCCAATCATTTCCTCTGTCTCACAACAATCAACCAACCATCAGGGTGATTCTTGCACTCGACGTAAAATCGAGATTTCAAATGATTTTATCATAAGATTGCAATCTTACGATTTTTCCTTTTAATTTCATGAGATTCCGATTTTAACAAAGATTTTACTTGAAATACATACCTGCAATCGTAAAATCAAATGATTTTATAATTTAAAACTCGATTTTGACAACCATGGTGCCAGGGCGAAAAAGAAAAAAAGGCAAACATAGGGTTGGAGGGCTTACTTGTCATCTTTTTAATTTAGGGGCTTTTCACTTACTGTCAAAAAAGTTGAGGAGCTTAAGTAGGGCTTTGTCTTTCAAGTTTCTTGTCAATTTCCTTGACTAGTATAAATTTTGTACTTAAGGCAGACGTGACTGCTAATGTTATTCAGTCTGTTGTTGGTCTGAAATACATCTACACCTTTTCTTCAGCGAAGTTGAGTGGGAAATGAAAATTTTAGTAATATTGAGACCAATGACAACCTAAAATGCTAAAGCGCCAAATTTTACCTCAAAAAATAAAAAATCTAGTCATAGTGCACCAAAATTTGAAAATTTTATTTTAGACCGTTTACGGTCTGAATTATTTTTACCTATTTAAGACACAGTTGTGCCTCGTTCCTTAGATTGGTTCTATTTTTTTTTTTTTTTTTGGCCCTGTCCCTTTTTCTATTCTGTGCATCGTCTTTTCTTGCTTCCCTTCCTCTTTTTCTCCTAATTCTCTGACTAAATTATTTTTGTTTCTCATCTGTCTTTTTCCTCCTATTCTTTCCTGTTCTTCTAATATTTTTTACTTCTATTTGTTTTACTCTTTTCATATTTTCATATCTTTAATTTTATATATATTGGTATTTCATTTCTTATTTTTATGTTAACATATAAATATTCACTAACTTGCTTTTTTTTTTTTTGGCTTTTTTGTAGGTTCTTATGAATTGCACATTGGGTAAATCCTAATTAGCATATTTTCATCTTGTATTTGTTTAGATATAATTTTTATGTTTTTCTTATTTTCATTTTCAATCTACTATTACCACTCGTTTTTTTTTTTTTTCCATTTTTTTAGGAAATAATGAAAACAAGAATCTAGAATGGGTAAAACTAAGTGTTTATTTATTTTTTTTCATATTTTGTGAAATTTGTTTTATATCTACTAATCTTTTTCTTTTTATTTCTGTTTGTAGGAAATGATCAAAGTTGCATCATGAAATTGGAAAAATAAATTGTTAATTAATTAATTTTCTTTCGATGTAATATTTATATAAATTTAATTTTCATTTTTTTTACAATTGAGTCCATATTTATTTATATCAATACTGGTCTGTATATACTTTCAATTAACTGTTACCTAAGGTTTCAGACTTTTAAGATGTTGAGTTGAGGCTAGACATATTCAAATGGTTATTGGTTTGAATAAAATGTTTTTCAGATCGGTTGTGATATGGTTTGACCTAATATTTTAGGTTAAAACCTTATTTTGGTCCCTGAACTATTGTACGGACCTCCGATTTGATTTTTACTGTTTACCATTTTAACCCCAATTTAGTCATTCCATTAAAAATCTCATTACTTGTACTGTTAATTCACTGTTATGGGATGACGTGGCAAAATATTATACAGGTGGCAAAAAATAATAATATAAAAATAATAATAATGTGAAAAATAAAACTTAAAAAAATTCTTTCTTTTTTTCTTT